CCAGGAACATGTCTTAAATAAGCTGTAAACGTCAATATCTTCATCGCGTCCTCCTTTCTCCTTGAAACAGGAATCATACAGAAAGTTGTATTTGTCAAGTAAGTTTATGACTGCACTCTCCATATCGTCTGGATTTGCGTAATGATATATCTCCCCTTTAAATTCGGTAACTCTTGGTTTGTTACTCATTTCACCAGGTTTTGTTAAACCTCCATGCTGGGGAATGTTTTGTAGTATTAAACGGTGAGTATCTTTCAGTAAACCGACCTCCAGGAGTCCATAATCGCTAATTTGTTCTTCACTTTTAACTTTAGCTACCAAGCTTGCGTAAGAATTGATTAAGTTTACTGTTTCTTGCTCTTCGACGGAGAGGGAACTACAGGTCGACACGCGTCTTTCAGAAGAACAATCTCGAGCTCTAAGAAAGATTTTGGTATCCTTGTAAGTAGCGAGTCCATGTCCTTCTTCGCGATTGACATGAAAAACAAAATCGACGAGAAAATCTTCTTTTACCTTTTTTATCAAATCCTCGTGGTAGTGATTCTCCGCTACAGCTTTTTTCCACCGCTTCTGATACTCTGTGATGCTAGTTATCATTTCAGTAACCGTTTTCGGTTGTGGGTCGTTTAAACGAGAACTTGAGTGCCACGATGGATTTTCCAAAGCGTCAAATGAAATAAGGCTTCTCACTGGATATTTATCAGATTTACCCATGACTAATTTGGTTTACGGGATTTCAAAATGTTGAAGAAACCTTCCTTTGAAGAAATTTTCTCTCACAGTTAGAGCGGAATTCAGTTGTATCGCCCGCGCAACGTATCTATCGACTGACGTCACACATTAAGGATAGACACATGAGGGAGGCATAAACAAATGTAATTATGACGATGATGACCGCTGACAACATCGCTCGAACACCTCTCATGTAACAATGCACAAATTGCACAACCACATGCCTTATTCATCATGGTGGATTTCAAACCCAAGGCAATACGGGAAAGCCAACTTGAGAGAAGACAGGTTTATTTTTGAGCTGAATTTTGTGCCTCAGTCGCTATTATCACGGTCGCTTCATGAGTTTCGTTCCTTATTTTTACTTCTTCAGGTAGAATTTGCTGTTCCTGCCCTTGTGAAGTTCGTTAGTCAGAATAGAGGCAAACAGCTACGGCTTTTGAATGAACACCAGACCATTTTGTTGATCTTAGCACTAAAGAAGATTCCAGACCCTGAGAAGAAACCAAGAAGAATGTGAGTATTAAGCAAAATCGGTTAAATAGTACCAGGTTAAATTCCGAAAAGGCAGTTAACGGTATTGATTCTCAAACTGATTGCTTCACAATCACAGCCTCATGTTATAAGCTTAATAACCTAGAGGGCAAAATTACTGAATGGTGATTGGTCAATGAAGAGGGTGTTTTTTCCTTAATTTTGCTCGTGAAGAAGGCAAAATTACTTGCTCTCGATTGGTCCTCAGGTTGCCTGAAAAAGCACCAACTTTATATTTTCAAAGTTGAAAGTTTGTCAGCAGACGGAACAGAGGTAAATCTTCAAAGA